CTTGTACACTTGATTTGGAGTGGTTCTAACTTTTTGGTATACGACTGCCTTCTCTACAAGGATCGGGGACTTTTGTTGGGACATCCGAGCGAACTCCACAGAATTTTCTGAAATGAGATTTTTGTGGTTCTCGGGTTCGTTCTTGACAAATTCTGAACAATCAACCGTGTCCTCTACAAAAATTTCACTCATATTATCGTCCTCATTAAGCTCAGATGTATTTTCAACATCAATTTTATTTTCTGAGCTTAAGTTGACATTCAACGAGTCAAATTTTTGTATGGTTTCGGTTCTTAGCTTCACTTTATCATTTTCATCCAAAAGGTTTTTGAGCATGTTCTTGTGGTCCTTGGATTTAATGAAAGATTCTATTTTGTCTAGTCCATACATATATGTTGGATTAACATCCTCAGACGAAATAACACTCTCACAATTATATGCTTCAGCATCAATTTCATCTTCCTTAAACTCAAGAAAGGGTAAAATCATGCGATGAATCTTTTACCCTATTTCACAATTCAAATGAAGCTGAGTAATATTTGTATAAAGACGTTTGGCAATCAAACAAAAAACATTTCGCTGTTTTAAAAGCTTTAAATTGTCTCTTTGCAAATAAATGTTTTCATCTTTTATTTTGATTAATTCTGACTCCTTCAGTTCGATCCACATCCTCCGTTCCTCACTCTTCGAAGACACCCTGCTTAATTGGTCAGTTAGGTTAGAATTGGTGACCCGAGTTTGAGTTAAACTACTATCTAGATGAGAGATTCTTGAATTAACACTTTTTAATTCTTTTTCATATAAGCATTGTGGGACTTTAAATGAGACAAAAACTGATTGTACCTTCTTGATCAGTTCATCAAGTTTGTTGAACTGCACGCTGAGTGGTTTGGCAGTAAAGCACAGATTCTATTGTTCCTTTGTGTCACCATTCCCACCATCAGAGTTGTATCTCCTCATCTGAGATACGTCGGACACCATTAAGCATCTTCCTCCACTGCTCTCTTCTTTCACTACATAAGCCTTTCCATGTGAAGGCTTCCTCACTTCATCATCTTCGGAGTCGGTTGACCAGACCTCCACGCCACCGAACTCATCATCAGCTACCGAACCCTGCACAATTAAAGCATTCATTGGAGGGTTAGCAACATATTTCTTCATCCTTAATTCATCAAGCTTTTTCAGCAACACAGCTTCTTCATCATTTTCCTCATCCTTTTCTGCCATCTTTTTGAGGACGCAATCTTTTGCATAGTGGTTCTTTCCTCCACAATAATACCAGCTCACTCCCGAATCTCCTTCAGCCTTCGGTTCCTTCTTTGACTCTTCAGCCTTCAGTTCATCTTTGACTTTTTCAGAGCTATAACTCCCTTGCCAGTTTCAGTTCCTGTTAGTGGGGAATCTCTTCTTGATGAATCTCTTGGGGTTTGACACCATCATAGCATAGTCCTCAGACGTGAGATCATAATCATCCAAGTTGAGATCTTCGTCCTCTATCACCGCTTTGCTTTTCGACAGGAGGGCCAATGAACCTAGACCTGAAACCACGTTTTTCTCCTGTAATACGATCTTTTCTTGAGATTTTAGGATGCCCACCAGTTTTGCCAAAGAATAGGATTTGAATTGCTCGTGCGCTTTAACTGTGGACACAACTGCTCTCCACTCAGATCTGAGTCCGTTTAAAAACGTAACCTTCTGTTCAATAAGCTTCCTTTCGGTGTCATGTTTGATCATCTTGCTAAGAAGATGATTGAAGCGATCGAACGTTTGAGTCATCGTTTCTTCTGCTCCTTGCTTGAACTCACCAAACTCAGACAAGAGTAAGGTTTGACTAGAGTGTTCAAGATCTTCGTCTGTAGAGTACAGTTCACGTAGCCTGTCCCATATCTTTTTTGCAGTCGTGCATGAACTTACCAGCCTAAAAGTATCGGATTGAAGAGCAAATCTGATCAATCTTAACGCTTTGATATTGCACTGAAATTTAACTTTTCGTCTTGCGCTATATCTTTAACATCTTTCAGAAGATCGTTATACTCCTTTTGAGTTTTAATAATCCTTGAAGTTGCTGAATGAGAAAAAGGTCCAGAGATGACTGCTTCCCAGATGAGGTATCCATTATCCTCAGATCCTATGACATAATCTTCAAAGTGATTCGCCCAGACTTCATAATCATGGGTGTACAGGATGGGAATCTTCGTTGTTGATCCAATGCTGTTTGAAATGTTGATGGGATTGGATTGCGACTCGTCCATAATTGATCAAATAACCTGTTCAAAGATCAGACTTGTAATATATCAAATTAAGGCAAAAACAATAAATATTGAGATACGTCAATTATGAGATGACGGCTCAATAAATATCAATGAATGCAGAATAACCCTAATCGAAGCTTTTTCACAGAAAAGAAGTGTATCGATTACACAGCCTCCTGCTCTGATACCAATTGATAAGTTTAAAATAAACTTGAAGATCGATTAGATCGATGAAACAGGTAGAGAAATAACCAGATAAACAATAAGAACAAGCAAATGGATCAAAAGGTGTCGAATGATTAATAAACAATCCTCAGAAGAGCTCGATAAAGAACATCAACTATAGAGGATTTAGGGTTTACAGTAATCAATGAGAATGACGACAACTCTTTTGTATACGCATACATGCATGCATATATTTATATTAAAACCCTAACAGTTTATCTAAGAAAAAGGAAGCTAATCTAGATAAACATGGATTGACAAGCCCAATCCGGTTGTAAAACAAAAGGGCCCAAGACGCAACACATTAATCTTCAACACAAGCTTTCTTCTTCTTCTTCAACTTTAAACACACACACACACACACACAAAGCACCAAAAAGGCTCAAGAACACTCAATAAGTGTTTAGGGTTTCAATCAAGGGTTTCTCTGAGTTAGGGGTGATGGAGGCTGGTTTGGGACGAGATAAAGTGTTTAAATAAGGTGCAAATTTTAAACATTAGGGTTTTGTTTAGACAGCCCCTACTCATCGAGTCGGTCTCCCGACTCGTCGAGTAGATCATTAAAAAACCCTGCATAATGTCGAGTCTACTTAACGAGTTGGGCCTCCAACTTGCTGAGTCCCAGAGTAAATTACAACAATGCTTGAATCTAAATATGTACCAGGAACCGGGTATTACATAGTACCGAATGGAGTCAAATATGTATGCGATGCACAAAATTCAATGGTATTTACACCAGGCTTCAGACGCAATAGTAGAGCGGAAACAATGACTTTGATTTGTTCAGATCTGCAAAAGAACAATATCGGGTCAAAATAGGACATGTGTTCGATTTCGATAAATCATCGAAGTTAGTTCTAGTAGATCTAAAATGGATTAAAACTCCAACATCGTTGGAGGTTCAATCGGAGAGGTCTCGAAATTCGAGTTCAGTCGATGTTTCGGATGCACGAACTCACATCGACTTCAACGCCGACACAGATGAGATTTTGGATGATATAAAGGATATCTCCTCCACCATGATGACCGATTGGACGTGAAAAAGCGAGACGCATTGTAAAACATGTGGAAGAGCTTGAGACGAAAGAAAGATCTATGGTTGAAAGGAAAGAAAAGTTTGATGAGCACAATTTAATATAAAAAGAAAAAATTAGTTGACGAAACATTGACACTTGGAATTCCTTGAAATGAAAGCGTGGGAGGGGAGAGAGAGAGAGAGAGAGAGAGAGAGAGAGAGAGAGAATAAATGAGAAATCGGTTGTCAATTCTTTGGGCTAACGAGGAGGATTTGACACTCCGATATCTGACAGTGCTACAAGCGATGAACGAACAAATTAAGAAAACTTATTTGAGCAATTAGGACTATGGTTATGTTATGTCTAATTTAAATGTTATGTTTTTTTTTTAGTTTTTAAGTGTTATGTTTTTTTAAATATTTTATTTTATAAAAATATATTTGGTTTTATAATTAAAAAAAATAAACTTGAATTTTTTTTTTTTAAAAAAATGATTAGATGGAAATTAGTAGATATTATAATATGGTGATCATTTATTCGATTAGTGTTATAACACCCTTGGTGATATGACATGTGAAATGATACCAAAATAATTTTATAATATGTTGTCCATACTCAATTTTCTTACCGAGTGATTTGTCTTTTCTTTAATATAATATATGAAACTTTGACCTAAACAAAATGCAACCCATAACACATATTTTCTATACAAATTAGTATAAAAATAATATTTTATCTCTAACTATATACACTATTTTTTACACCAATTTGCTTTTAACAATTAATTATGTATTCCATTTTTTTATGATACCTTTATAAATAATATAACAAAATAAATAATATTATTACAAAATTATAACAAAATCAGTTTTGTGGTGTGAAAAAATGATCTTAGATTTTGAACACAAATATATATATATATATATATATATATATATATATATATATATATATATATATATATATATATATATATATATATATGGAAAAGTGAATATACCCTTAAGGGTATATAAGCTTAGGTACCCAAACTCATAATAATTAGTAGTTTTGTTAGATATATTTATTATAATGTTCTTAAACTTCAACCACTAACTTGATTTACATTGAAGATTTTTGAAATTTCACTATTATCTTCCTCGTATATCATATCTTTTTGTCGAATACCTATTAGGCTATATATATTATAGTTGAAAATGAAAAGTATGTAAGAGGAAGATAAATGTAAAATTTATAAAAATCTTAAAAGTAATCAAGTTATAAGTTGAATTATAAGAACAATTAGACAATTACAATTTAAATATATATTATACAAAACGATTTAATATAGTTAGTTTAAGTACCTAAGCTTATATACCCTTAAGGGTATATTCACTTTTCCCATATATATATATATATATATATATATATATATATATATATATATATATATATATATATATATATATATATATATATATATATATATATTCATGTTTAAAGGACAAATTCAATTAAAAAAAGCAACATCAAATATTAAATCTTACAAGTAGCATCTTTGTGTGATCACAAAAAAATAAAGAAATCAATTAACAAACAATGAATTGTGTTTGGAAGAAAACAAAATAAATAGAAGGATTGATGGATGTTGGATGGATCTAGTAGCCTTCTTTCGGTAAAGAAGGTTGGGGCCCTGCATTGTATATGAAAGGGCCTACTGATGACAAACTGTATCCGTTGAGCATACGAGAAAATGTGAGATGAGCACCCGTGATTCCTCCATTGGTATCTTCAGGAACCTTGCAGCCTGGCCATGGTGAGTTCTCAAGGAAAGACTTGCACTCAGTTACCTCCCAGAGATTGTTTTTTAGAAGCTCTGATGATGATATTTTGGCCAAGAAGTAACCCTTCACATCTGCCGGACAACTCGAGAATGAAAACGGTGCAGATTCATATCCGTTCTTGTGCACGGCCAAACAAGTAATTCTCACCGTTGCTCCTGTTTTCATTTGATTAATTAATAACAAATTAGTTACCATGCATACTATATATGATCATTATTTGCATGGGTGGTCAAAACCTACCAATTATTACTTAGATTTACGATATTTTCTTACATGTTTTGGGTGTATGAATAAGTTATAAAAACCACTATTTAAGTCCAACAAATGATGATATATTTTTTTCCAACAGATTATAATTATAATTAAATAATAAACTAGTGTCGCATGCAAAGAGCGTATTACCTTTAAGTGGGATAAGTTTGGAACCATATTTACAGTAAATAAGGCCTTGAACGGCTATGTCCGTCGGGTGTTCCGGCACCTTGGGTAGCTTGGGCTTCTCAGGCGTTGGTAAATTAGGGTTGATTTTTCCGTACGCTCCATGTTCTTCTTTTGGTATCAAAGGCTTTGGTGTGGGTATTTTAGGATTGTTCTTTCCGTATCCTCCGTGTTCCTCTTTCGGTATCACAGGCTCTTTGGGCAGTTTAGGGTTGTTCTTTCCATACGCTCCGTGTTCCGCTTTTGTTATCACGGGCTTTGTCGGTATCTTAGGAATCCCCTTTCCATAAGCTCCATGTTCCTCTTTTGGTATCACGGGTTTTGTTGGTATCTTAGGATTTCTCTTTTCGTAGGTTCCAATATGCTCATCTTTTGGTATCACGGGCTTCGTTGGGACCATAGGATTGCTTTTTTCGTCAGCTCCATATTCCTTCTTTGGTATCATAGGCTTTGTTGGTACCTTAGGATTGCTCTTTTTGTAGGCTCCAAATTCCTCTTTTGGTATCACTGACTTTGTTGGTATCTTAGGGATGCTCTTTTCGTACGCACCGTGTTCCTCTTTTGGTATTACGGGGTTTGGTAGCAAATGTTCGTTAAGCTGAGGTTTTCCATAACTACTATCTGCAGAAGCAACAAAAAATAACGTGATCATTGACAAAAACAGCACAACCGAAGCAAATTTTAAGGTAATTGCTTCCATCTTTGTACTTTTTAAAGGGGAGCGATGTTTTTATGTGTTATAGGAATCTACGTTCCTAAGGTATTTATAGCTATGTGATTGTATAAATTGAGTAATTATCTAGTTTAAAAACATATAGCTTTGTTTGTGCCGGGTAGGTGGCAGGTGCAAAGATAGTGGATTACTTGTTCGCACGATACTAAATTGACTAATGGTCGTACACCGTGGTGGGGCATTTATCATTTGTAATAGGCAGCTTTACCGCATTAAACTGGTATGTTGGCCCAAAATCCATTAATTTTTAAATAATACCTATTCTTTTATTCAAAAAAAAAAAGTTATATTATGAAAAAATGTTATAAAGATTTCTATATTAGTTGTCTTTGGGGGAAAAAACAATATGGTCAAAGTTATTTAAAATTGTCTTGGGTTAATATTTCGGGATTTAATTGTTGGTTTAAACCACTTTTTTATTTTTAAGGAAAAATCTAATGTTTTGTTTTTATATTTTTGTTTTTGCCCATTTTAATAGTTCTATCGGTCACTGACAAATTTTTTTATTTTTTTTATTTTTAAATAATACTTAATTTTTCAAAAAAAATCACAATATTTGACTATTTTTTTTCGTTTAATTGATTCATAAATCTCATGTTTCTTACATATATATATATATATATATATATATATATATATATATATATATATATATATATATATATATATATATATATATATATATATATATATATATATATATATATATATATATATATATATATATAGGAGAGTTCAATTGAGAAAAAAAAGGTTGAGAATGGGGGAATCATTCTCAACCAATCATTTATTTTTGCCGCAAAAACGTCCAACGTACCGGCGGAAATGGGAAATGAATGCACATGTGTTTTTCAATAAAACATATTTCCTTAAAGTATGCTAATCATTACCTTAATATATACAAAAAACATAGTTTTTTTCATTTTTTTTTTTAATTTTTAGAAGCTATTTTTACCAAAAAAAATGATTTTAAATATACCAAAATTCATGATTTTTTATTCTCTACAAATAGACATCCGTATTGATATAGTTTTAAGATAAAATAAAAAATTTATTTTTTTATATTTTCAACTATCGTTATTCATAAGTGAATAAAAATACATTATGTGAGATACTTTACCACCCCAGTAAAGCAAATGTTGACGCTGATGCTCTAAGTCGGAAAGTCAATCTTAAAAGGAAAAGACCAAGAGCGTTGAGAATTAAAGTTGTCTCGATGATTATGGAAACTGGAAAGCATAACGAAAGCTCAAGAAGAAGCTTCAGAGAATAATGACCGAAAGGAAGAACGTTTGGGCAAAACGTTTGAGTTCGGTACAAATAGTCAAGGGCTGAAGGTATTCCAAGATCGGATTTGGGTACCTAAGATAAGAGGAGTAAGATATCTTCTTATGGAAGAAGCTCACAATACCATGTACTCGATTTATCGCAGTAGCACAAAAATATATAGGGACCTAAAACCCTACTACTGTTGGCCGACGATGAAGCTCGATGTTACGAAGTATGTGGTCGAGTATGTAACTTGTGCGAGGGTTAAGGCACAACATCAGAAACTATGGAGTTTAGAGCCTTTACCTGTACCCATGGGTAAATGGGAAGACATCACCATGGATTTTGTGACTAAACTACCCAAGACAAAGAACGGTCACGACATGATTTGGGTGGTCGTGGATCATTTCACCAAGAGTGCACACTTTATAGCAGCCAACGAGAGATGGTTTATGCATAAGGTTGCAAATGCTTACATGAAGGAAGTTTTAAGACTTCACGGTGTTACTCTAACAATTGTATCAGATTGTGATAGTCGTTTCACGTCACGGTTTTGGAGAAGTTTACAAGAGGAATTTAGTACATAATTGTGTTTAAGTACAACTTACCATCCGCAGACTGGTGATCAGAGTGAAAGAACGATACAAAAACTTGAAGATATGATGAGAGCATGTACCCTGGAATTCCAAGGTAATTGGGATGAGCACTTACCTCTGATAGAGTTTTCCTAGAATAACAGTTTCCACTCGAGCATTAAGATGACACCTTATCAAGCTTTATACGGACAGAAGTTTTGTACCCTGTCTTGTTGGCTTGAGGCTAGCGAAAAGCATTTTATGGGCCCTGATATAGTCCATGAGACTGCTGAGAAGTTAAAGGTGATCAAGGAAAGGATGTTAGCAGCTCAGGATCGTCAGAAGATTTATGCTGATAAGAAAAGACGACCGATGACATTCAAAGTTGGGGATTCGGTTTTACTTAAAGTCTCACTGTGGAAATGACTTATAAGATTTGGGAAACGAGGAAAGCTGAGTCCAAGGTTTATTGGACCGTTCAAAGTTCTTCAGAAGATTGGGAACCAGACTTACAAGCTTGAATTACCCGAAGAAATAGATGGTATTCATAACATTTTCCATGTGTGTTGTTTGAGGAAATTCATGGGAGAAGTTCCTGACATAATTCCAATCTCAGAATCAAGAATGGATGATAATAATAGGCTAATCGAAGAGCCTGAGGCAATCATTGACTGTAAGACTAAGTTACGACGCAAGATGTTCAATTTAGTGCTAGTCCGTTGGAAACATTCGAATGGGTCGAATCTCACATGGGAGACATAAAGTGACATGATGAGTCGCTATCCACATCTGTTTGATGATGCATGATTCCGGGATAGAATCATCCTAAGGGGGAGAGAATTGTAATGCCCGTGTTTCGGGGCTAAGCATTAGTAGATGATGTAATAATGTATGTCTACCAATGTAACTCATTTTGAAATAATAAAGATGAATTATTTGAGTATTATGTGAATTATGTGAATTTATGTGCTTTATACTTAATTATAATTATAAAAGTATAATAAAGAAAGGATAAAAATAAGCATCAAAATTAAAGTGTGAGATAAATCTGATATCTATACATAAAGTTGTAGTGGTCGAAATAAAGATTCCGGTATATAAAGAACGCCGAAATCTGAGTTATAACGAATAAGTTATGACATATCGAAGTTTCGCGAAAAAACTGGCACGACATGGAGGACGTAAATAGTGATAGATTGATTTTTAGCCTTATCAATCTAAAAAAAGTCATAGTGTTCATTAAACTGAGAGCATACATTAAAAGAACGCCCAAATCTGATTTTGTATGAGGAAGTTATGATTTTTCTAAGTTTCGAGTCAGCAGTACATAGCCCGAAGTCTGAATATTTGATCGAGCGACTTTTGGATGACACAACCTAAATGAGAATCGAAGGTCTCATTAATATAAGCGTAACGATAAAAAGATAGATGAAAGCGGACGTTGGATGAAGAAGTTATGAATATTTAACGGACCAATCCTGTCCCGACCTGTTAAAAAATAAAATTTTAAAAATAAATTCAAAATTAGCCAACAGTGTCTAAACGAAAGTTGTAGAGTACGATCCCGCCTACGTGTGGATATAAAGAATGTCGAAAACGGATCTCATATGCGAGAGATATGAATTTTTAAAGTTGAGGCTCAGATTTTCTAAATTGATGCGAAATTGATGACGTAGCCGCATCTGGGCCGTTGCTTGCTGATCACGGATAGCCTTCAGGTTCGGACACCTGGCCTCGCTACGCCCCGCGTTCAAAAGGAGCACCCAGCGTCCAAGAACGCCCCACATCCGATTTTGGTTACACCCAATGAATAAGCTTTCCTCGGTCCACATTGAGCCATGATGCACCACCAGCGAGGCAACACCTCAACGTACGTGTTACACCCCTGAACCGTCAGAAAACAACGGCGAAAACGTCCGGGGGCAGGTGATGACATGTGTAGTATCACAACAATTGTATCATAGCAATCAAAGTAAACACAACCATTACATTACTATATGATTATCTACATATGTTTGAAAACATTGTTTGTACATAACAGTATATAACAAAAGTAAAAGACATGACTCCAAAATGCTCCATCTTCTTCAAAAGTTGGCAAGAGTACCTATCTATTGTTTCCTTAAGAATACAAGCATTTTGAAAGAGTATCAACATAAAGCTGGTGAGTTCATAAGTATTTAGTTTTGGTGAAAAAATGTTTCTTTGATCCCTTGAAAAGTGTTTCCCAAGAAAAATCCTATATTTTCTTATAGAAAGTATGTTTGAACATCCGTTAGTTACTTGTTGAACAATCTGTTTATGAAAAGTCGAGTTATCTCGGGAAAATCCCATATTTTCCCTAAAAGTTGAGGGTTGGTTATCTGTTCTACTATGAGGTGTACAAGTATCTACCATACTTATATCGTTAGACTTAGTTTTCTTGAAAACCCATGTTTGCTCCCTATGAGGTGTATTAGCCTTATTACATAAATAAAACTAATAAATATGTGGTGAACTAAATCCTAAGGGTATTATTAATACCCTCTAGTAATCAAATCGGTTATTACTTTGAGGTTAGTTCACTTGTTTCATTATTACAAAAGTAATTTACTGTTATCTAGGTTGCGAGTGTCATAACCATACTTAGACTTGGTATGGCATCTAACGGGACCGGTATCTTTTTATGACTTTGTTACCCATGGAACTTTCGGTCCAATTGTAGCTAGCAGTAAGGTGCGGGATAGTCGGTCCTGTATAGATTGATACACAATAGTCATGCTCTTCCTACAAGAAATTATGGTTACAAGTGCTAATCCTACACCCTGATTCTGAGGGGGTGTTACCAAGGACGTGTCTCCAACTTTAGACTAACCAATTTACAAGTAAAAATTCTGAAAATCCTGTTTATGGTTTGCATGAATCCTTTATAAAATAACATATTTTACGATATGATTCACGAGGTTATTGCCTTAGTTTTGAAAACTGTTTCTACGAGTTGATTTCTTAATCGTTTGGTAAAACTGTTTTCCGTGTTAAAAGCATACTGAACATATAATTATATTAAACAAATAATATATTTTGAGCATAGATTTCCTTGTACTTTTTCTTGCATCCCCCCCCCCCCCCCTTGAAAACATGAAAAACTCGAAAAAGCATAAGGGTATGAACTCACTGATTGACGTAAGGTTCGAATGTACGTTTGTAACGCCTCC